TTAGTGTAGAAAACCAAGGAATTCATTATTATTTATATTAATCTGTAACCTATTATTAACAATACAGATTAAATATTGATTTTGGAACTGTATGGTTACTATTTCAATCTGTAAATGGCATTTTATATAGAATTTTTGAGGTTAGATATATAGTGATATTAACTATGTCGTGTCCCGATGTACCATGAGACCATGACGATTGACTAGCCTATTCCAATGTTTATTACATCTTGACAATAATAAATAATAATGATAATCTAACAAGAACTCTTTAATATCGCTTCAAATCTTTGTGTGACAAGTAGTATACAAGTGACAAGATAAGCAGGCTGCAAACTGAAGACTTTCTTACTCTCTCTGGTCTGCCTATCCTCTATAAATGCATCTCGCTCACATGAAATACTTTTCACGGTATCAAGTACACATAAATACATAAAAAATGTAATACATTTTTAAAAGATACTTAAGAAGATAGCTTTGTAAAAACATTTAGTAACTCTTCATTCGTTAATAAATGAAATTGCTGTTTAGTTCTTTCATGATTTGTACCTAAAGAAATTTATCATTCCAAAACTTGATACTTCGTTATAAAAAACAAACTTGCGGCCTTGTAACTTCAAGCCTTTTTTTAACTTTTACGTCTTCAAATCGAAAAGGTGACCTCAATGTAAAACTTGTTTGTTATTCAATAGAGTATTCACTAATTCGAGATTGCGTTAGGTATATGTGTTTTAAAATTATTTTAATAAAAGAAAAAATATATTCGATTATTAGTGATAATGACGGCTAGGCGACAGAGTTTATATTTCTATTAAGTACGCATATAATAATTTATATCATCAATATGTTGATTGGAGTATGTTATTTGTTAATAAGAAGTACCTGTCATTAAGTGCTTAGCCATATAACTCGTATGTCTAAATTTTTATTTTGTATTTCCTCTCAATATGGTAATTTCCATTATTTTTATATTATCTCTAGTTGTGTGATTTGAAAATTATTTCTTACGCATGTGTGCTTAAAATATACGACTTTGACCAATGAAAAATGTTTAATATACAAATGTTTGATAACTGCTTGGAATTTTTAATCAAACTTGTTAAGTGAGTGGTCAAGGTGGCGAAGTTAATTTGTGATTATGTTAGTGTAGAATTAACCATAGGCATACAACATACACAGTTGCGACGTTTAGAAGTTTATATTCAAAGTATATTAGTAGTGAACATATTATTATTATGTTTTATTGTCAATATGCATACTTTCATACATGTTACGGCTTTACATATATTACTGTAGATTTAAGTCAAATAAATGGTACCTATGAAAAGTGTTTTATTTCATTTTTAACTAGCTTTCGCCCGATACTCCGTCCGCGCGGTAATAAAAAAAAAACAAATGCAAGCACCCTATGTGTTCTCCAGAAATCCATTCAGCAGTTTAGGCTACAAACTCTAACAAACATCCATCGATTTATCCATCTAAACTGTCGCATTTATAATATTAGTAAGAAAAGTAAGATATTTGACCCATACAGTATAAACCACTTAAAACATTAGCTTGTATAAAGTTTTTATACTAAGAAAATAGAGGAATAAAATAAAACAATACTTATTCCAATAATAAAGTTTATTTGAAAGTTCATTAAATTTCTATTTAAGATATTAGAAAATACTAAAATACACTTATGTTTAAATTGAAGAGACAAGAAAACATTTTACTTGTGCCGTTGTTCCACTGTAATTGAACACATAATATTAAAAAGATTAGGCTCTATCGACGTATTATTAACAAAACACATGGATACATTTTATAAGAATTAAAATTACTAAAATTTTCACGACTAGATAATACATGATTAAAAAAATTCAAGACTTTTATAATTTCGTTTTTTAAAAAAAATACTAGACATAATTATAGTACTTTACAGTTTAAAAACAGAATAAATAAAGAATGTTTATTTACCTCATTTATTTTTTGTTGTTTTTATCAGTTGTAAAATAAATTGGAGGATACTTTAATAGAATTTCGTACGCACTTTCCTTACTGATTTCCATCAATCACACGATTCGTAAATAGCTGTCATTAGGACGGGAAGTTTAATAAAAAAAATACACTTTTCTAGGAAACAGGAAACCCAGCTCAAATATCTAATTCGAGGTGGCTTTCCTGATCTAATATCTAATTACACCAATTTTGGTGAAAAATAAATGCCTTTCCGTTTATATTAGCAATTATTTTTGTTTTTAATTCATTAAATAAATTAAAGGCACGCGCTGTCTTCAATATACACATTGGACAAAAGATCTTATTCGACAGCTTTGTTTTGTTTAAATTATTATTATTGAAATGTTAAACACAAAATAGATGAAATCCTCACTATTTGTAAAGAATTGTAACACTTTGTGCACCCTGTGACTTATTCATTTTCAAAAAAGTTTTTTTATTGAGACATCTTGTTGGCGCGAAGCAGGAAGATGTCCTCCACTACATTGGTAAGTAGGGACTCTAATTTAAAGTAGTAAATGAGAATCTATGTAAACATTCGCACGTGTCAATTTTGTGTACAAATATAGATAAACACGAATTATTTAATAATTACAATAGATTGGGATTATAACGTAATTCTAAGGCCATGGAAAGTGTAAATACATTAGTGTGACTTGTCGTAGGTGTCTTTGTGTTGGTAGCCGGTGACGTATCCGGAGGCGTCGACGAGCTCCTTGCGGCCGGCGATGCCCTTGCCCTTGCCGGTGGTGTCGAAGCGCTGCTTGTGCGAGCCGGTGTACTTGCTCGTGTCCGTCAATCTGTCCACAGCGGCGGCGGCCGCGGGAGACTTTGGTAACTGAAAATTAAAATAAAATCTAAAATGTTACAGTAAAACGAGCAATAGTTGATATTGTGGCTTTTTAAGGAGCTTCTATATCTGTTTTACATTTTTTTATTCTCTAAGGAAGGAGCTGCCTCCATCTGTAGAAAATTTGAATAGGCTCTAAATTCGTCACTATCACAAAAATAAAAGTTATCTTGAAACTCACATGAGTGGTGATGCCGGGCTGTCCGCACGTTGTCAGTTTTCTTTTGATATCACCCAGTTCGACCTTTTTGCTCTTTGCCAATTCATCAAGGAATTTCTGATAATCATCAACACCCACTTTCAATGATTTGAGTTTCTTGAAGTGAATGGCAGTATCGGTAGTTGTGATCTTCTTCCCATCAATCACCTTCGCTTGCTTCATCCATTTATCGCTTTGGGATAATGTAATCAGTTTGCCATCTGATTTTGGATCACCAAACTTCGAAAATAATTTGAAAGCGTCCTGTAAAAATAAATTTATATTAGTTAATAAGTTTTAATTTTATTTTCACTGTTACAAAACACTTTGATTAGTTAAAATAAAAACATTAGTTTTAAAGTCATTATAAAGCAATCTTTCTCCTTTATTATAAAACTATTGCAAATTATGGTTAACGCAAACTATTTTTGGACCTATAATTGTTGCGTGTGAATAAACACGAACAACATATTAAAGCACCTTAAACGTAGTTTAATTATTCGCTTGGTTTAAGAAAGACATTATAAATATCTTTTAGGGATGCGATGAGTCATTCTGTTTATGAAGGCATTGTTTAAGAAGTATACATCGCCCCTCAACGTTCCTGGTACGGTCGCGTGTCTGCAGTAAATAGTGTTGGATCTGATAAGTACGAACTGTTGTAAATACTGTGATTGCTACTGGTTTTAATTTGATTGTTTCAGTTAGTTACACTTCGAACCTAGAAATTGTGTTCAGGTAAGGTGTAATTTTGTAAATCAAATTGCGAAAGAAAAATAATCTAATTTTTATGTAAGCATAACATTGGAATTACAAGTATTTTTCATTTTGTATGTATGTAAAATGTAAATGTAGGTGTGTAACACGTAAAATTTTCCATTTTGTATGTATGGTAAACGTAAAACGGTTTCAACGAGTCAGTCGTAATTTCGTAATCATAGTCACTTTATTGGGTGAATATATTTTGATTCAATTAAATTTAATGTAAGCAAGTATGACTTTCAGCTCCAACGCGGCTTGTATCTCAGCTGTGAATATGAGAGATACTTGAAGGATATGTAATGATGAATAACCTTAAAGGGTATAGCATTGTCGTCGTTCTTGGCGGGCGTTCCGTTGGCCGCGCCCGCTGCCCCCGCGCCGCTCGCCGCC